CTAAGAGAATGTGGATGACATCGCTGGGCACTGTGGTATGAAGAGTTTGGTGGAATGGGCAACCTTCACCCACAGGAAGCTGTGATCTCAGATGAAAGGCAGGCTTCGGCTAAGACAAGAAAGTAAAGGGGTGCTCGTCAAAGAGCACCCCTGCTAATTTACAGTGTAGCAAACTAGCAGAGTGGTTAAGAACACAGAATCAGGTGAAGGGGGGCAGACAAAATGGGTGAAGGTGGTCAAAAGGTACAAACTTCCAGTTATAAGATAAATAAGTCATGGAGATGTAACATACTGCATGATGACTATAATTATTAATGCTGTATTGCATATTCGATATTGCTAAAAGACTAAATCTTAAAACTCCTCATGAGAAAAAACATTTTATAACTATGTGTGCTGATGGATATTAACTAGACCTACTGAGCTGATCGTTTTGCAATATATACAAATATTAAATATTAAATCAGTAGGTTGTATACCTATAATTAATATAACGTAATATGTCAGTTATACCTCAATAAAACATTCTAACAGGGGAATAACAAAATAAATTATAATGGAACAGAATATCATACAACCAGTAAAAGTAATGCTTTTGGAGACTATTTCATGATGATGATAATAATAGCTAACATTTCTTGACTGATCATTTACTCTGTACCTAATGCTGTTTTTTATGTATACATCACACTTATATAATAATAAATAATAAATTTTAAAAGAGCATAGAATCTGGACCAGACTGCCTTGATTTGAGGCTCTATCACTTACTACCAAACTATTTGGCTTCTTTGTGCCTCATTTTCCCTATACGAAAAGTGGAGGTAATAATAATGGTCCCCACCTCATAGACTTAAGATTAAGTAAGTGAATATTTCTAAGATTAGAATGACATTTGGCACAAAGTAAATCCATTTAAGTGTTTGATTGAAAATCAAGTAAAATAAAAGAGAGCATGCAGGGAACCAGAATATGTCACTCCAAAATATGCTTTGACATAAGGATTATTCTGAGCTAGAGGCAAATGGGAATCAATTGGTGTAGAAATAAACCTTCTCAGAGTTTCCCTTATCTAAATTCAGGCATTTCTGTAAAATGAGGACTGCCCCAAATCCCCTCTCCTGGGAAAGTTTTATGGCCAAAGTGGACCTGAACGAACAAATCTTACTCCATTAGAGCTCCCCTCTCCATCCAATATATTCACCTTGTCACAGTTTGTCACCCTGAAAAGCCTAAAACCCTTTTTTCTTTTTACTTGTCACTTTTCTATAAATTTATTGTTCCTCTGTTAAGATGCTCTATTAGCCCAAGTTTTGACCACCCTTTTGAGTTACTCTCGACTGAGGTTTCTCCCACGTGACGTGTGTTGCACATAGTCCTACTCTTCATTTTTCTCCTTAATCTTTTGTCACTCTAATTTTACAGAGTCCCTGGGGGAGAATCTAAGAGGGTAGAAGGAAAAATAATTTTCCTCCCCTGTAGGGACAATGGAAAGCGTTAAAAGAGAGGTGAGAAAGGAAAGGAAGTACAGAGGCCCCGAGCCTGGAGGGGCCTGCGTACAAAGGGCATGCGACAGAGGCTCTGATGGTCCTCGATGTGCAGGGCTGTAATTCTGATATCCTAATGGAGAGAAACACTAGTCTTTGCTTAGTTCTTAACAAAATCCGGCTAAGGTGATCTGATGTCCCTGAAGACAGCCTAGCCCAGGACATCAGGGGGAATGGTCAGCAGGCTGCTGGAATGCCTACGTGCCTGCAGTGATTAGAAGTCCAAGACTTCATGTAGTAACAGAGCAGCCTAGAAAGGCCCAAACATACCAGCAACCGAACAGATTCCCCACAAGGAGCAGAAAGCACAGAACGTATTCTCTCCATCTTTCAGGGGAAATGAGAGTCAAAAAAAGAGAAAGCGTAATGTTCAAATGAATATCCTAAAACCTTTTATTTGTCCTTTTATGAGATAATTAAACTTGGAATCTTTAATCGTGCTAACCTAGTGTACTTTTCTCATTTATAAAAAAATGTGCGAGGACTATCACCATTCCAGTAGGCTAAATTTTTAGCAATCTCTCAATCTCACATACTTCTTAACACAATTATGTTTCACTGAAAAAGAAATCACATATTCATTTCTATGCAAAAAGCTTTTCAGTGCAATTGTAAAATGTGGAGAAATGACATATAAGTACCAAATGTTCAATATCTTCTTAGCTTTATGTGCTACTATGTAATGCTAAAAAAGAAGACGATGCTGTTTTATTGTGGAAAAACAGGATCACTCAAGGTCAAAATAGGAAGCTGAGACACAGAATCTCTGAAGTCATCCACCTTCCCAGCTCTCTCAAGCAGCTACCACCATAAACCTACATGTATGTGATGTACAAGAAGGGCTTGGTCTCTGCACCAGCATCTGCCAAAAATAAGTCAGCAGCGTATCTGGATGCATAATTGAAGTACTGACGGTAAAACCTGACGGTTTGAACTCTATTAGTTCAAAACGTATAATAATTTTCTTCAATTTTACATATTAAAAGTTCTAAATTACTCATTATCCTGCAAATTTTCAGTAATATGTTCAAATACGAGTGTCTAAAGTCCAGTCTTTTTTTCAAAATGACTATATATTTTAAGAATGTTTCTTTTAACTTGTGCATTTTAAACTATGAAAATTAGGTAAATCAGACTATTCATGAATTACAATTTTCAGTATTTTTCAAGTTAGTTTTACCTCAATGTTCTTAAACTTAACTTCTTTATCAATACTTTAATAATTAAATTTATTTTCTTTAAAAATTCTCTTGCTTTCCATTAAGTCAGTCTAGCTCTGCCTCCATTATTTGGAACCGATAATATTTTAACATGCCTATATAGGCATATACACAGTTTACCGCAAAGTTGTGTACCCTGGTCAATGGAATATATTCTTCTAAAATGTTGGACTACATCATTTGGATAAACCATTTATAAAATACAACACAAAAATAAATATCACATTATTTTACCGATACTGTTGAACAAAAGCAAAACTAATCCTGAGGAATTCTTGGAAAAATAAATCTAATGAAGCAAAATATTGACAAAAATTCTATACATTGAATATTCTAACTATCTGAAAAATATATAAATGGAGGCTCCAACTAGTCTTCAATGAAAACTTTCCATATATATATTCAAATATTTAGATTTCTTATGAAAGTCCACAAAAACTATAATCAAAAGCAACAGTATGATATATGCATAAAAGACTAAAAGCAACTATAACAAACAGTGCTTTATATGAGGGGGACAGAGTATCGTTCTCCCTCTATTTTTCATTTTTTGGTAACGTTTTGCTTAAATTTTTAGAAAAGTGTTTGTATATTTAAGCAACGGTCTCTGGCATCGAGAAAGGAGTTACAGGGGCAGTGGCCTTTTCCAAAATGACAAATCAACACCCTTGGGTTCATAGTCATATTAAAGCTGAAGAGATTTCACACTCTTTAGTACACAATGGATCTTTTATCCAGACCGGAAACTGCCTTTAAGAGAGTATTTGCTAAGAATGGATGAAATTCTTAAGGTTGTGAGCGCTCATTTAATTATTTAAAAGAACAATGAATGAATAATCAAAAATGTTTCTTGAGTTCAGAGATATTTAAATTAAAAAAGAAAAGATCTAAATCTAGCATTTTCTCCAGAGCAGTCAAAAAGAACAAGCTGAGTTCGTTAACTGTGGGCATCGATGCCCAACGCTTTGCCACCAAAATTGTTAGAGTCGCCTTCTCCTTGGACAGTTGATAATTCTGGGTCCTACTTGACTCATATATATTGTTTGTTTACATGTTTGTTTTTTTACATATATTTGTTCCACAAAAGGAAAAAAACCAACAATGAAATGAAATCTGATCCTCATGCCCCTCTCACCCCCAAAACAAGTTGAGCTTGAATGGGCAACTATAAAACTGCAATAAAGACACTATAATATTAAGTTTTTAAAAAGTATGTCTCAAAAGATCACATACAACATGTTATCCTTTATATAAGGTTAATACTGATTAAAAATACATCTACATTGGAAGAACACAAAGAAATAAACATTGACTTCAGGATGATGGTTAGCTTAGATGAAGGAAGGCTAAGAGATGGATTAATGAAATGGACCATATGGTTAGATTACTACCAAGATCCTAGCTGTCATTTTGAGTGGTGGATTCCTGGGTAATTATGATATTAATTTAAGATAGACTGATAGATAGACAGACAGATAGAAGTAGACCACGCATGGACCAATGATAAGTGTTATGAACTAAGGATTACTGAACCTGAAATGAGATGACATAAAATGAATTGACATATGAAAGGAAATAAAAATAAAAATGGATTACAGTTTGCAGACTAACACCCAACCTATGATCTCTGGATCAACGCAGGTTATATAATTTTCTGATTCTACTTCCCTAACACCTTCAATTGGGCTGCATAAAGTAACATGTTCTCTAATGGATGTGAGACCTTGTACCATCACCAATGAATCTTCTGCTCAGAGAATACCTACACAGGTGGGGGAAAAAAAGAGCATAGAGGAAAATGCTGCTGATTCATTGACTGACTCTCTGGAATAGGGCTGACAGTCCCCACAAGCCTCTGAATGGGCAACTTGTGATTCTTACTCATTCATTCAATATTTATTAAATATTGAATAGCAGGTCAAACAGCATGCTAACACTGAGATCCTTCAGACTTATGATTAGGGAAGTCCTAAAAAACACCTGAGTCCAGCCTATCACCTTCCAGACAGTCCCAGAATCAAAATATTCCTCAGGTCAAAGAATAAGGATAACTTTTCAGGCCTTTCATTTAGCTATTTACCTACACAAGCAAATATTGAAGCAGCTCACTTTTAAAGTGAGGTTATACTGGCTTCCCAGAGTTAAAAGATGTTACATCTCTATTATAAGAATTGGGAAAAAGGATTGCTTCTGCAACAGATGAGATTTCATATGAGTGTGCTGTTTGTTTTACCTGCTATCTCCAAAAGTAGGTTTATATGATCTCCTTCTGCAAGCTTCACAAACCCAATCTGACTTCCAAAAGTGTCAATCCCTTGAAAGGGCAAAGTTAAATGTTTTCCTTGGAGAATTTCTTCTATGAATGGTTTTAATTCCAAAAGAGCATCAATACCACTGGCAAGAAAGAATATATTTTTTAGTAACATATTAAATAATAAAACAAACCAAACAAGAAACAAAGTAATCAGCTTTAGATAGATAAAATTTTGATATTTGTACTAATTATTTTAAAGCACAAAATACCTTCAGAATCTAATCTATATGATTAAAATATTAATTTTAAAACAAAAACAAAATCTAATCTATATGATTAAAATATTAATTTTTAAACAAAAACTATGCAAGATATGAATTAAATTTTTGCCTAATTATAATTTATATTGTTTTAAAGACATGAAGGAAGATACTATTTTATACCTCACCAAGTTTTTCACCAAGGAAATACTGCATGGATATTTTGGAAAAAATTACTGATAATATAGTCCAAGAAATCTGATAATAATAGTCCAAGAAATCTGATACCTATAAGAGTTTACATTAGATTATGTGGAAAATTCTAGATTCTCATTCAAAGTACTAACACACAGTATTTATTAATTGCATGGCACTCTGGTAAAACTAAATATACATTATCTCTTAAAATATAAATCTCCATAATGAGATAATTTACTATACTTGGATGCAACAAAAATACAAGTTTATATTCACCAACAGCAACTACGTAAGTTTGTTATATCTGTTTAGCCTATGTCATTATAGGGCTATTCTGTTTCAAGTACTTGATTTTTTTTTTTATAAAAATAAATGTTTACTATATTGATGAATTAGACATTACTAGATTTAGAATAGCTTTAAATTAGGATTCATTACTTCCATCTTGAAGAGGATTTTGATATAGGTACTTTATTGTGAGAAAAAATTAAAATCTCACTAGAGGGCAGTGATTACTCAAAAAAAGGAATAAGTACATTCATACAGTATGGAAAGCACTTTAAAACACCCTTCTGGTAAACCGCTATTAATCTAAATTATCTTGATCAGTGATTTGTTGATCAGCAATTATATGTCAAATGTGTGAAAAGAAATTTAGGTATTTTTCTACACCTTTCATATCTCTACATTAGTTTTCATACAGTTTTTAACTGATTGTCATCTCTAGCTTCTATACCGAGACTAATTTCTCTGTCATAATATAATGTACAATACTTAAAATAGCTCTGGAAATGTCAACATTTCTCATTATACCTTCATATTCACAATCTAAAGCCAGTATTTCTGAACTAGATTTATGTTAATCCAAAAAGACACAGTGTACACATTTCCATTGCACTGTGCTATGAGTTAAATTATATGTAAATAGAACAGCTACATCTGGCTCATCTACTGTAAATTGGGAAAATTCAAGATACTCATTTTAAATGTAACTATATACTAAAGCAAGCCACGCTAAAGGTTAGGGCTTTTCAGAGACAGTGAATTATATCCCATTTTTCTTTTTAAAAAAATATGTATGATCTAAATGCAGTCTAGTTTTTCAGCTTTCTAGTAGCATAAATCAATATATTAGTCCTAATGAGATGTCATCAATTACAGAGTGAGAAGGAGATAGTGTCCATGGTAAGTATTACTAAATAGAATATCTTTTCAAGAGCAGTTTATGAAGACTTCTTTTCCTAGAAGCTGGAACACTGCAAGAGATTAGTAAAAAACTTGTGCTGCAGCACCACCTACTGGAAGACAAAAGAAAGTCCTCTTGTTATCAACCTACTTGAGGTGTCACTCCTTAAAAAAAAGATTTCATTCCCGTAAATATATAGGCAGAGAAATAATCCATCAAATATTATGCATAACCAACGTAACAAGGGAGCTCTGAAAGACACTAAAAAATCTAAAGAAAATAAAGTTAAAGACATGGAAATATGTGATTTAAATGACAGAGAATTCAAGATTGCAGTTCTGAAAAAAACTCAATGAAATACAAGAAAACTCAGGCAGTTTAATGAACTCAGAAATAAAAATCAATGAACAAAAGGAGTACTTTACAAAAAAACCCTGCAACTTTAAAAAAGAACCAAACAGAAATTCTGAAGCTGAAGAACTCAATAAAAGAGATGAAGAATGAACTAGGAAGCTTAGGAAGTAGAACTGACCACCTGGAGGAAAAAAAATAGTGAGATTGAAGATAGAAATCTTGAAATAAGGCAGAAAGAAGAGACTTGAGATTTAAAAAAAAATGAAAGAACTCTACAAGAACTATGTGACTCCATCAGAAAAGAACAATGTAAGAATAATGGGTATACCAGCAGGAGAAAACAGGAAGAAGGGAATAGAGAGTCTACTCAAACAAATAGTTGACAAAAACTTCCCAAACCTATGGAAAGAGCTGGATCCTCAAATCCAAGAAGCAAACAGAACACCTAATTATTCAATCCAAAAAGGCGCATTATATTAAAACTGTCAAAAATTAATGGCAAAGAAAGAATTCTTAAGGCAGTCAAGGAAAAGAAGATGGTAACTTAATAAAGGAAATTCCATTAGATTATCATTGGATTTTGAAAAAGAAATCCTACAAGCTAGGACCGAGTAGAATCAAATATTCAAGAAAAGACAGAAATTATTCAAGAAAGACAGAAATTACCAGCTGAGAATAATATATCCAGCAAAGCTGTCCCTTAGTTATGAAGGAGAAACAAAAACTTTTCCATATAAAAGCTCAGGGAATTTATCAGCACAAGACCTGCATTATAAGAAACAATGAAAAGGGTTATTCTACTTGTAATAAAAAGACAAAAGGATACAAAACTATGAGTAAGATAGCAGACAGATAGAAGGAGGGAATTGTGATAATTATTCAGAATAGGGTATTATATGCTAAAATATGACATTGAGGTTAAAGGAAGAAAAAACATTTTTAAAAGAATGTAGTTACAGCAATTAGGAAATGAACTCACAGCATAAATAGGAATAATTTGTGACAACAAAAACATAAAAGGGGGGGGAGGTAAAGGCCTGAATTTGCAAAGAGGAATGGAGATAAGACTCATTCAGAAGAAAAATGACTATATATATATGAAACTTCCTTTTACATAAACTTAATGTTAACCACACACAAAAATCTCCAGAACTAAGACATGTAACATAAAAAATAGAAGAAACAGAGGGGAAAAAAATCATAGAATACCACCAAACTAAATTAACAGACAGAAACATAAGAGCAAAGAAACAATGGAGATACAGAGCTACCGGAAAACAAAAGACAAAATGGCTACAGGAAATCTTCATACATCAATAATTGCTCAAAAGGTAAATGGACTGAAGTCACCAATAAAAAAGCACGGAGTAGCAGACCGGATCAAAAAAACAAACAAACAAAACAAAACAAACATTTGCTGCCTTCGGGAGACACATCTCAGCTGCAAGGACAAATATACTCAAAGTGAAAGAGTGGAAAATGATACTCCAAGCAAATGGTATCCAGAGAAAATACACTGCGGATGGAAATGTAAACTAGTACAGCCATTATGAAAAACAGTATGGAGTTTCCTAAAAAAAAATTAAGAACAGAGTTACCGTATGACCCAGCAATCCCTCTTCTATCTACCCCCAAATTTGAAAACATTTATTCACAAAGATATATGCACCCCTATGTGCACTGCAGCATTACTTACGGTGGCCAAGGCATGGAAACAACCAGAGTCCTTCGACGGATGACTGGATAAAGAAGATGCAGTACATGTATACAATAAAACACTACTTAGTCATAAGATGAAATATTTCCAGTTGTGACAACATGGTTAAATCCTGAGAATATCACGCTAAGTGAAATAAGTAGGAAAAATCAAGAACTAGATGATTTCACTTATATGCAGGATATAAAACTGAAAGTAACAAATGAATACACAAAGCAAACAAACAAAAACTCATAGACAGATAACGGTATGGTAGTTAACAGAGAAAAAGAGGATGGGGAAAAGGTAAAAAAGAGTAAAGGGGGGTCAAATACATAGCGATGGAAGGAGGTTTTACTTTAGTGGTGAATACGCAATGCAGTATACAGATGATATAAAGCTGTAAACATGAACCTAAATAATTTTGTTAACCAATGTCATCTCAATAAATATAATAAAATTTTCAATAAATAAATAAATATCAAGTGCCAGATCTGAAATTTGGATCCAAGTATTCTAACACCGGGGCCCTACTGTCTTCAGTCTACAAAAACAGAAATCAAATAGCTACAAATTTAGCAAGTAATTTTTAATGTGGAACTATATTGGATTTAATAGTTGTTAAAAAGTTTTGCAAATATCATGTTTCTACCATCAAATTAAAAGCACACATAAGGTTATAAATTGAGAAATTCACTAGACAACTCTGGCAAAAAAAAAAAAAAAGAAGCTAAATAAAATAGTTCTACCAAGTTAAGAAAGGAAGGAAGGAAGAAGGAAGGAAAGAAGAAAGGGAGGAAAGGAGGACAGACTTCTTTATGATAAAATGATTATAAAGTACATACATGTAGAAAACAGAATTCTGAACCTGGAGTTCAGACCCGAAGATTGTATTTGAACTTAAGACAGGATAACCATCCCCCAAGGAAGAAGGAATTCTGCCTCCAGACTGCCTTCGAACTTGCAACTGCAACATCAACTTCTCCCTGAGGCTCCAGCCTGCCATACTGCTCCTGCAGATTTTGGACTTGCCAGAATTACATGAGCTAATTCCTTAAAATCTCTTTAGATACGCATTGATATAGATATAGGTATAGATATAGATATATAGATAAATAGATGTAGATATAGATATAGACATATAGAGATATCAGTATGTCTAGATATCCATATAGGTACACATCCTATTGGTTCTGTTTCTCTGGAGAACCCTAATTCAGCATTCTAACATACACAGGGCACTACTCTTCTCTCAGGCTTTTATCTTCTGTATCACATCTACTTTGGCTTCTTTTCTTTTACAAGCATCAGAGTATTTTTTCTTCTGACCAGCGAAGTGAACAGCTAAAGTGAGTCAAGTAAAAGGTTTCAGTCCTCTCTGCAGGGTGTTCAAGACATGCTCTTGGGTAGAGCAGGCTGGAGTAGATTAGAAGTGTTGATCTCCAAAGACATGAGGTTCTACTATTAAAAAAGACATGCCTACGAGAATCATAACATAGCTGTGTATTTTGAGTTGCTAATTTATTATCTTCTCTCTTTTACTTTCCCTTTTCCTTATCCCTTGAATTAGGAAAACGTCAAGTCTTGTGCTTCATTCCCTAAGGAGACTATATGTCAAGGTAGAAAACAACTTTTAATCCACTCTGGCTTTGATTTTCCAAATAGCTTGAGTTTGAGCTTAATCCAGAGGGCTATACAGAAGGTAACAGGAAAGGAGTGATGGCATGTGCAGAGTAACCAAGAGAACTGAGGGAAGAGCAAGATTTCTCCACTCCAGGTTGGGAGGCAGAAGTCAATGACTTACACTCAACCTTCGACACAGGTCTGACAGTGGGGGTTGGGGTACACAGGTATTCTAGGAATGAGTGAGGTAAAATTAAATTGTACTCTGACCTCGTGGAATGGAAGCTCTAAGAAATAATAATATCGATGATAATAAAAATAGGTTCCAGGTCCTATACTAAGAACTCTTACATATATTGGTACTATTATTTTCTTCATTTACTTAAAAAGTAAATAATATTGACTAAAATCAGGGAGCTACTAAGAGGTGGCTACGCCGTGGTTCCAGAGTCTTTACCTGGAATCCTAACCTAAATGGTCAGACTCCAGAGTACTTACATAATTAACATGGGCAAAAAAACTGCATAACCAAGGGCTACCATTTGATAACAAAAACATAGCTTAAAAGTCTAAATAAGAAAGAATATTTACATAGTTAATTCTGTACATCGACTACTAGAATAAATCATAATAAAGGACACTTCTTTAGAACTTAAATGTTTTTTTTTGGGTTCTGCTACATTTACTCATATTAAAGTAATAATCTGAAAACCAATATTCAAGAAAGACATTACTCACATGTTTATTTCATCATCATTTAACAACTGCATCACTAGCAGGGTAATATGAAAGGAACCGTCACTGGTCATTGCCTTGGCCAATCGCTCATCTTGTTGTATTATTGCATTTTGCAGGATCTTAATTCCTCTTGTAACCTAATCACACGCACATACATACACACAAAATAGAGAGTATGTGAGCAAAATTTCCTGATGGCAGATGTAAATTAAGAAGAAAAATAAGCAACAACCCAAATTAGAAATGTCAAGATTCTTCGTCCAAACAATACTTAATTGTCTACTTGTTCTCAAACATCTGATGACTTGGAAAGCTCAAGAGAATGTATAAGTTTAGAAAATCACACAATGCTTGTCCATCTTAAGGGCATTGTGTCTAACACCCTTATTTTACAGACTAGGTCACTAGTTGAATAGAAAAACTTTCAGTGCATCTTTTCAAAAACTTGTCTTGAATACACAGTAGGACTTACTATAATTATGATCTTTCCTAAAAAAAAGTTTTATTTCGGCCACAGAAAGGTCAAACCAGCAGACAACAGTCCATTTCTGTTGAAAGTAATATTTATTTGTCCCCTAGTGAATGTGTCTAAAAACCCATTCTCCACAGTCTTTAAGAGTTTTTAGGACAGCAATAATCTCAACAGCAATGACTGCTCTCATTTTTCCAGACAAGTGAGGAGGGGCATAACCATGAAGAGTTGCAAAGAAGTCCAAATGCATATGTTAGAAAAACCGTACGGTCTCCATCCAGGCAAATCCCTGGTCCCTCATCAGCCTTCCCTTTGCACTTCCTACTCTGAAACAAGAAGAGGAATGATTCCTCTTCCCTCCTCCATTTCCAGTTAGATCCAATTCTAGTCAACTTCTAAATGTGAATGTACCGGAAAATAGTTCGAATACGAAATAGCAAACTGAGCAATACCCAAAGAAAAGAGAACACACAGAAGCCCTGAGGCAGCAGAATTAGAGGGAAAAGGAAAGGGGTGGGGGCTGGCAATAGAAGCAGAGACCATAAAAAGACAGCAAAGATAAAAAATGGAATCAGGAGCACATCAGACTGTTCTGATACTAGAGCAGCTGTTTTATCCTGAACGACATTCCCATTATCTGAGGAATGTGACTGGGCAAATCATGAGATGCTGTCATGGGAATCTGGCTTCTCATGTATCTTTACAATAAATCCACATCACCCAAAATAACCTCAGTATTTCTCTATTCCTTGCAATTTGGAAGAGAGCAACACAGGAAATGGCTTTTCCTGGTAAGAATTTACACAATTAATACCTAATGTAACATTTCTGTAGGCAAGATGTGACTTCTATGACATCCAACCAAAGAATACTGATAGCCTGATAAAGAAAATATTTGTAACATAATAGTACATAAAGATCTTACAGAGTCACAGTTTCCTCTACTCTATATTGGTAAAACTAAAACATAAAAACTTCTCAAGGGCAATATTTATTTCTTCTATCCTGCCACATTACCACAGTGCCTGGTATTAATAATAAAAACAATATTTAAACAATGACAGCAGTAACTTCCCTTACTTGGCCACTAAATTCTAGGCACAATATATAATAAGCATTTTACATACATTAGTTTCCTGAAGCCTCTCTATAATCCAATGAGGTAGATATTGGTATATCTATGAAAATAAGTTGAAACACGGAAGATTCAAAAAATTCCCTTCAAGATAATATACCCAAAACAGCAAAGAAACTTGAGAAAAGGATAAATTGCAACACATGAGAAAAGATAAGGACAGTACCTGGAGGGAAAGATCCAGGAGGGGTAAAGAGGAGAAGCAGTTAGAGAGCAATGAGATAAGAGTTACAAGCAATTTGTTTTCAAGAGGAGACAGGAGAGGGACAGGTATGTGGGTACTGACTTAAGAAATGAAACATTGAGGGGAAAAAAGACATTTAAAGGAGATTTTTAGGAAATCTTGATACTACATAATGGAACACACTGGCCCTCTCAAAAAAGCCTCTAGTATAAGTCCGTATTACTCTGTAATGATTTTAAATTTCAATTTTGAGAATTTTTTTTCCCAGTGCAATGAAGTGCTGAGATTGGCTTTGGTATTAACGAAGCAGCTCGAGTGGGTCCAGGTTCCAATGGAAAGAGCCCACTGTCAATCAAGTAAACAACAGGTGCTCAGAACATTAGACCTCAAAACAATATAATTAAATTTTCAAATCTTTGCTGGTACAAATGGTAATTATGATTAACTGATAATGAAAAAAATGGTTTAGGATGAGAACTCTGTTATATAATAAAGGCTGATGCAAATTAAAGGTGCTGGATCTGCCTCAGATATCCTGGATTTAACCCAAGGTCTACCACAGGTGTGAGTGACCCCATACAAGGTACCTACTCTCACTAAGTCTTGGTTTCTCTGACTGGAAAATAGGAATAATAAAATGTGCGTTGCTAAACTTACAGAGCAGACAAGCTACATGGTAGATGAACTCTTTTTTGAACTCTGTATCATTTGTCTAATACAAGGTATGCGACATTGCCAATATTATTAAAATTAGTTATTCTCTACTGTGAGCAATTTTGCCTCCCAGGGGACATTTGAAAATGCCTGTCCACATTTTGGTTGCCACAACTGGAGGTTTGCTTCTTGCATCTAGTAGGTACAGTATTTGCAGTTTCATAAAAACTTAAGTTTTCATTCGAAGCTCAAATACTAATTATATAAAAATTTAAGACAATGCTCGAAAAATTCCATCCATTTGTTTATTCAGTATTTTCATGCAATGTCCTACATGGTAAAGTAGTTTTAGACCATTTGTATCTTTGAATTATCTAGTAGCTTATAAAGTTGCTAATTAAAAACTGTAAAACACTTTGAAGACTATTTCTCTGAAGTTGCACAGTACTTATAATGCAAGATTAACTTCAAACCTATGAAAATTCTAAAGTTAATCTAATCAAGTGATATATTTATAATTATGCTTTGATGCACCAGATTTATTTATATATTCCTTGATATCAACTTAAGACTTTTTAAATGCTTTTTATTCCTAATTATATTCTTAAAAGATAAAAAGAAATATACTTCAGAGTCTTCTCTGTATGCCATTTTAAAAAGTACCAAAGTCATCAAAGGCCAAGACAAACTAATTTTCATAGCCACTGTTTAAAATTCTATAAATTCATTCAAGCTTATCTTTCACCATAATCCTCAGTTATGGGCAGTACAGCACAATGCACATTTTATAAATCTAATCTCTAGGGTCATATTTAAATATGACATTAAAAGAAAATTTTAAAAATACAAGCTTTATTAAATTCTTAAATATGTCATTCATTGAGTAATTTCTTTGTGGCTAGAGGATAAATCAGCCATCCATCTGCTAAACCTCACCACTAAGCCATATTCCACATGCCTAAAAATAAGCAATAAGAAAATGCATTTTTATGTCTTTTAAGCTTTCTAATGGACGCAAAGCATATGAGTTCAAAGAAAATGCCTTAAAGTTGGTGCATGAGTGAGTGTGTGCATGTTACGTGTAGTACACGGCAGAAAAATGTCTTTGGACTCATCTTTTGACAATTTGCTACAATTCTCTTATTTTTTCTTCGATTCTCTTATTTTTCTTGCTTGTCTACGACCATGAAAAGAACTTAAAAATTCGATGATACAGTATTAACTGGAATAAAAGTAAAAAAGTATCCTCAAATAGGAGAATTTTCTTTATCTACCAAGTGCTTAACATACGATATCAAATACTTTTACAATTACACGTCCCAGAAACTGAATGCAAAAATCTACCTTCATATTTTCCTAAGACCAGCAATTTTTCGCATTAAAAAATGATAAAATACAGAAATGTAGCAAATGCTTTTTAAACCCCCTAAAGAAAATCATACTTTTTCATTAGTATAAAAAATGATCTTACAAAAAAATTAACATTTTAACGACCAGCTTCCGATAGTTCCCTTACATTTTTTAATGTCGATTTACCCTGTAGTATTACCTCTCACAAGAGAGCACATATATTCTAGCCAATTAAGAAAAATTTTTTAACTCCATTAAATTTTTTCTTCATTTTTATTTTTTAACTAATGTGTATTTGCAGGTAATGGAGATACACTGTTTTGATATAGTTGCAATTAGGATATTTTTATGCAGCCATTCTAATTCATTTTCCAACTCTATTTTTAAAAAATATGAAATCATGATTTTCCATTAATAAAGAACTCAAAACATCTAAAAAGGTGTTTAAAAATCGAAGATCCATGTAAGTTTGAATACTTTTTTCTTTAAAACTAGATGCCAACAAGTAGAGGCCAAAAGTAGAACAACCCATTGTGAATGTGCTAGCTTCCAAAAGCTTGTTTGCAGGTCACTTAATTGGAACTTGGAATACAGTCTCTCATTGAAACAATGTTATAAATGCTGCTTCTTTTCCCAGGCCTTCCCACAAAAGCTCATAAGCAGTTTTAAAAGAAAATTAACATCAGATACTTGAAAACAAACAAATAAAAAAGGTGCTCATACAAAAGATATAAAATGTATCTCCTAATGTCCCATTCCTACTTCTCCCTACATTTGTATGTAAGCTTTTCTGTTACCTACAAATAAGTCTCTTGAGTGGAAAATATTAAACTATTTGGTTCTGAAGCCACTCGAAACCCATATTCCCCACTATCACAAGTCACCCCACCTCTTCGAAGACAAACCACTGTTGAACATATATTATAAAAACAGCATTTGTAACATTGTATTTACTATTTGTAAATGTTCCGGTTGTAACTTAGTATGCCAGAAACACTTCTTTGCCCCTGAAATGACAGTATTTTGTGTTTTTACTCTTGGCCAAGCACTGTTGTTCCAGGTGCTGGGAATGAGCTGAAAAACTAAGGAAGACTAACAAGTGTCAAACTGCAAGGATGACAAATGACAAAAGGAAAGCTATAAAGTTTTTTCGTGTTTTCAGGGGAGGAGAGTGGGGGTTGATCCGGTGAGGGTGGTCACAGGGGAGAGGCTTGAGCTGAGATTTTGGCATTAACAAAGCCAAGAAGAGAGGAAAGAAAACTCCCAGCCAGAGAAGGCTTTCCCTGAGTCAGACAAGTTCAAGGAGGACCAGAAGGGCCCAAGCGGAAGGAACAAGAGCTGGAGTAGAGAAAGCCAGACCATACAGAACTTTATAAAATATGGTAAAGACTTTGTCTTTATGCTAATGTCAATGGGAAAATACTGAAGTATATAAGCAGGGAGGTGACATGTCTGGATTTGGGTTTAGAAAATAGTCATTATCACCTCCATTTTATACCCTGAAGAAACTGAAACCGCAGAAATTAGGTAACCTGACCAATAACCACAGAGGAGTTGGGTCCCAGCTGGTATTTGAGCGAGGTCTGTCATACCCTTCTCATTTTCTATACAACTTCCAAGAAGTTGAGAAGCAGAAACAAAGGCTACAGCAGTTTACAGGGTGAAAACTAAGATTTGCACATGGTTCTCTCTCATCGCTCCCTACTGTCACCTTGGTGGCCCAAATCCTGAACTTAGTGGTAGAAGGAAAACATTTCTTTACCCTCTTTCTTCTCAGTTCCCTTCCTGACCTGCCCTGCCACACCAAATTACCCCACCATTCTTCACTGGAAGAGGTGAGAAGCAAGGACAAGGCTACGAGAGGATGGAACAGGTTACCGTGAGAGCCAAGAACAGAAGTGTGAAGTTCAGATAAAATGAATGGCCTAATTAAAGCAACTTATAGGACTGTTTACCAAACTTCCATACGGATAGCTCTGCAGTCGAACAATCTCTAAGCAACAAATCAAAATAAGGAATTTAGAGTCTCTTCCGACCAGAAATCACAGGTCCTTGGAGAAGTCACTTCTCCTATTTCATATTCAGTTTCTTTAGGGCCCGGCTTCTGTCTGCTCAATTAAGCAGCAGCACCTTTGACTTCCTGCTCTTTTCTAATTACCATGTACATATGATCCTACATTTCAAAGAAAATATATCCAAATAACTCACAAGGATTTTAACATACAATAGTTGGTTACATAAAACTGTGTGTCAACTAAACACTTTTAAGGACTATTTTACAGTTAACCTACCATTATATACCAGTAAAATTCTTTACTGTACAGTAATTATTATATCGAATTCTAAAATATTGTATTGCTAGGTAATACAATTTCTCTTTTTATGTGTCTTCTCTCCTTAAACTATATCTCAAAGACTAGATATTTCCTAGAATGCCCCAACAGATTTTTTCTTTTGGTATTTATCTTTTTGACTTCGATTTGATTTGATTTTTTTAAAAATTCATTAGCACTCTCTAGAAACATTTTAGTTAAATAAGGGGAGAAGCAACCTGAAAATGTACCTGGTAAAAGAGATTACAGCCCACAATCAAACATAAACTCAGATCCAGCTCTTAAATTGGGCCAAGATGTAAAGGCAGTCAGTTTTCCAAGTGAAGTGTCTTTCTTAAGGCATTTCAATTCCTACCTCACTGCTCTAGCAGTTTTAATTAGATATTGTAGTCTTCTCTCTCAGCCTCATATTAGAGTTTCTTAGTGTGAGTTAATTGGCTGATCTAATTTCCTATTATTCATACCACATTAATTTTTCAGATTTTTAATAGATTTCTTCCAAACCTATCATGCAATACTAAGTTGGTACAACAATGAGTAATTTTTAAAGAAATTATGTTGCAAATTTCATTACCATAAACGAGACTAAGCAGCAAGAAACTCCAGTTTAGTTTCCCAGCAGAGACTTCAAAAGTCTCTTTTTCTATACAGTTAATTCCTCTGTTCAGGTGAACAAATACTTAGAAAGAACCTTGACATACCATTTCATAACACTTTTTCAAATGGTTTTTGCAAAATTATTGTTTAAATATGATTGTCTAAATAATATTTTACAAAATTATTTTAAAAATATATTCCATTATGTAAACAGGACTATTCCCTGTATGACCTAGCTAAATCCACCCAGACTCTTAACAGCTGAGAGCAAACGGGCTTACAAGCACTTAGTGTACTTTAAATCTAATTTAGAACTTTTTAGTAAAAATACTTTTTTTAAAAAAATAGTACCTCTTTGTTGGTTATCGGAATGGATAGGAAATAGTTGGGTTGATAGTCTTTGTGCTTTTTTCTCCCTTTCTTTCTTTGATCTTTATTGATCCATTCATTTTCTTCACTTCTCTCCAAATTTATTTGAGGTACCTCAGTGACTAGAGGAAAAAAGTCACACAGTAATATATTTAATGCATTAAAACAAAGATAGTATAGTTAAAAAAAAACAAGTATTATATAAGTAGCAATCATTCATAATTGTCATTTTCAAATCTACAGAGTTGGTAAACTCCCCTGTAAAGGACCTCATAGCAAATCTTTTAGGCTTTGCAGATCACACAGTCTGTCAAAAATACCCAAGTCTGTTATGGACAAAAGACAGATGAATATGTATAGCTGTGTTCCAGTAAAACTTTATTTACAAAGCAGATATTTAGCCAGATTTGGCCTATGAACCTCTGATCTAAAGCATAACTAACAACCATTCCCTCTCCCATGCCATAATCTTTATGATACAAGAAAATATTATATTTTCATCCATCATGTATATGTATATTTGTGACTCTTATAATATAACCACTCGCAGCAGTGCCAAAGTTGAGTTTGTGGTCAATTTCACATTACATACTATGCTGAAAAAATTAAGAGACTGCTTCAGAAACTTGCATGCCAATTAAGCAAAGTAATTTTGTCTACTGAATTTTGATTTTTATTGGAAGTCATTTTTCACATCAGTTTTCTAATAGTTCGTTTTTTATTGTATTTTACAAAAGCATAAGTTGGCAACAAATGGCAAATTTTTAAAAAAACAAAACTGGTCCTTGACCCTAGATAATTTGAGCACTTAGCATACTTCTTTTTAAAGTTGTCTTTGAAAGACTCATTTACTGATACCCTACAATTCTGAAGCTAAGCCCTCAGAAATAATTACCAAATCAGCATGGAATACCACTATCTCCTTTTTACAGATCAGGGGCTTCCATATACATGCAAAACTACCATTTGCTATATCTTCACAGAGAACACATATTTGAAATATAAATTATTTAGCTTCTTTGGACATGTGAGTTTGTGAGAACTTTATAAATTCTATTGCTAGTAGTTTGCAATGTTCTCATCTGTATTGAGCAGTGTCTGAACTTTATAATGCCATTGAGTTTCATTTCCCATGTAATTTTTTTAATATGGAAAATCAAATCAATATGTTGATGAGCTGTTTATAATTTTAGATATCTAAGAAAAGGTCCCACATCTGATTAGAGTAACATGAACTAAATATACTAATTTTAAACAGAAGCCACAAAATATGCTAATGAAAGCCTATATATATTTTTAATCCACTTCTAATACATTTCTAGCCCATCTTCATCTGTTCTTAGTAAATTGGTACTCTGGAAATGTAAATAACCCAGTGAGAAAGAGATGATGAATACTTGACGCTCATTCTAAGATTCTATTTTTAAATATGCTTGAAAGTTTCTAAGTAAAATTAAAAAAAAAAAAAAAAAAAAAACAAAAAAAAACCGGGCAGGGGAGGGACAGATAATCTCTATCCAAGGTCTCACCTAGTTCTAGTTTTCTATGGTCTGTGATATAGGTACCAACAGTTAAAACTGTACCAATTAGGATATTTCATGGTAGAATTAAAGAAAACCAACATAGTAAAAAGAGAATCCTAAACCTAGAGTCTAGTTTTTCTTTTTTCAAACTGCAAGTATCAATGTACATATATTAAAAATATATGTAGTTGGTTATGAAATCAAGTTAGAAGATAATTTTTAAAAACTTTTTAAAAACTGGAATGGAAGGAATAGAATTAGTACACATATACATTGCTTACAGTAAGCAATGTTTAAGTTTGCTTTGCATACAAAATTTGAGTTTTTTTGCAGACACATATGTATTGGGTAGCAATGTAAAATTTATTTCTTACTGTAAATATAAGACACATAATCATTTTTGTTGTATTTTACTCAATATGAACAATATTAAGAACAGACTTAATAGCATGGTATTTAAAAGGCCATTGAAGCTTTCAGGATTTTGTTTTATAATTTATCCATTTAAAACTAAACTGTCCTCCTGCCTGTAGCAACTATTTTTGCTTTTATTAAAGAAATGTATCATCTTTATTGTTGGTTGATTGTTCTCACACTTGCTCTTAGCCAAGATACATCTCTTGACTAAGTCCATTTTGTAGACATCCAAAGAAGGAAAATCATAATTTCTGAAGGTAATACTGTTATAATGTATAACAATTCTAAAAATTCTGGTATCATAAGAATAGCATAATGTAAAAACCCCAAGTCAGGATACGACCTCTTGGTAAAAATAAACAAGTACAGGATTTTTCTAAATTCCCTTAGCTTTCTCAAATTTTACCAATAACTATTTAACTTTCCTTTGAACTGAATTATCTAAAATTTTCTTTTGGTAAGCATCACACACATAACAAAATCTAAAATTATCTGATGAGAGCTAGGCAAAAAAGAAGAATCCTGAGTATTTATTGCTACAGTTGTTTTATTTAACTTTGTAATATATGTATATTTTTTTATTTCAGTGAGTCAACTTGTTACATGTTGAACCAGATATCTCTTTTCTCATGTTTGCACATCTTGTCTTTTATTTGTAAGGTGTATTTGTATGGCCAGACTATAAAATCCCTTTATTCCTTAACTTCATTTTATTTCTAATTTTGAAATCATAATCTCAAATACAATTTGTTATTACTTTTTAATTCATGAAAATATAATGAACCAAGTATTCACGTACTATCTAGTTTACTAATAAAAACATTAAAGATCAGTGACCATAAAAGCAAAATAGAGAAAGCTTTGGCCATGAGCTCTGGATCTTTCACTGGATTATTTACAGTAACTTTATTGTTTAGCAAAAAAAAAAAAATTATGAGTTGCAGTAGAGCTTGTAAAACCATCTCATAAATTTAATTTATCACACTTGCTAATTTTCATAATGATTTCAGTAGTCATTTAATGTACTCTAATGAATCTGGTCTGTTGACAAAGACTGTAACTCTCTAATCGAATTTGTTTTTTTACCTAAAGCACTACATGTCATTTTATGTAAATTAATCTAATTTTTCATAAAGTTTTATTTATTCCTTCAAAAAAATACAAGGGAATGAATTATGAGACATTAATTAGGTGGTCTATCTTTATGGTTGGTTGATTTTTTTCTAACTTGCTCTTAGCCAAAATGAACTGAATTTTGTTTTGATATTTTTTTCTTATTATACCATCCCCCAAACTTCTTAATTATACTAGTTAATACATGATCTTCTATATTTCATATAATTAGTCCCCCTTACTATCTTTGGCAAATCACTAAAAATTTCTGAAAAAAAATATAATAATTTTACCCTCACTCATGGAGTTTCTGTGAGGATTAAGACAATATAAAGCATTTAGCATGGTGCTGGAAACACTTAATAATATTATTATAAAATATTACTCAAGGGGCAAATTTTTTAAAACATTTAATTTAATAAATATATGTAGGCAAAAATTTTGATGAGATTAAATAAATAAAAATTTACAGAGGCTAGTTCTGTCCTACACTCTATTCTAAGAACTTTCCATATATTAAGCTGAATCCTCCCAACAATCCTATGAGATAGCTACCATTAAGATGCCACTTTTATAGATAATGAAATTCAGCCTAGACACTTGTTCAGAGCACCAAAAAGTATAGAAGCAAATTTTGAACCATGACAGTGACTCCACGCCCCTCACTTTTAACCACCAGTTTAACACTATTAGTAATACCTTAGGGGAAATGAAAGATGAAAGTATTTATTCAGCTCTCCATTGACTGAATCAATGAAGATTACATCTTTAAAAACGAGTAGTTTTTAATCACCTTTAAAACTTTTAATTAAATCATGTCATTAAAAAAGTTAAGAACATTGATAAATCTGAAGATTAAAGAACAAAAAATTTGTTTATAAACCTACTATCTTAACACAACCACTATTAATTTTGGTGACAGACCACATCAAGTGTTTACACAATTACAAACAAACAGCACATAGTTTTTCTTACTTTTCACTTTGCATTTTACATAGGAAATGTGTCCTGTAAGTTTTCAGAAATATTATTTTCATAATATATAATTGCATAATATATAATTTAAGGCACTAGTATAGCTTATTCAACTATTCCCTAATTTTGAACACTTGTGGGTTTTCACAATATTTTTACTATTTAAAAGGCAGTGTGAGACACATATTTATGAATTAAACTTTCTTCCACAAGACTATGTCCTTATATTGGGAATCCCGTAAGTGGCTCTATTTCATGTCTGAACACTGCTAGAGATCACATCAAACTCCATTCTAAAATGACTAAAAAAATACATTATCAGAAGCAATGTAGATACGACATTAAAATCATTGAATATTATTTTTAAAAGGTATTGCTACAATTGGTAAGTTACAATCATATTTTAATATGCATCCTTTGATTCTTATGAAGTTAAATCACTTTCCATATATTT